TTCAATCAATGTTAACCATGTACTATATTATATTTACCTTGTGTACATGTGTAATGCTTTCAGTCGTTATATCGAATACACACGAATACATCCATTATCTGCGAACGATTTAGATTTAAAGCGGGAGGGTCGTCACCTGCGCACGCGCGGGAATTGAGTCCCAAGCAACGATACTAACACACGCTAAAAACGCAAAAGCTCATTGGTAGACGCTTGTTTGTAAACGATGACTCGCTATGGCCATCTGACGCATGCGGAGGTGACGACTCCCCCGCTTTAAACTATCCTGTCACCATCTGTGTTTTATTTATCACAATTGCAGAAATATAGACCATGAACAACGATCACATGTGTTCATCACACAACCTTTGTCTAGCGTTTAAGTAAAATGTGAGCAGCTCCGTGTGCCCAATTTGGACGAACATTATTTTCGAAAGGGGAAGCTGGAATTTGTCTGATACAGTTTTGATTCGAACTGCCGATGTCATTGGGGGGCACTTGGACACAGATTGTGCGAAAATAATTAGCGTTGATATATTTTCATGTACATACACATAAGATTTACATTTAATATAAATGAGAGGCGAAATTTTACTTCTTTTTAACAATCAGAGAGTATCCCCCATTTTTATCGACAGTGCTAAAATTTCAGTACATATTTCCAACAAATAATTGTTTTTTGAATTGTTGATCCCAAGTGACGCTAGTATTCTAAAACTGAACCTTTCTTCAGTCTCTAAACTATCTTCACTCAGAAACTCAATTTGAGACACGAGCTACAAAGTGGTCAACCATAAAAACAAATACATACTAATTGATACTTACTAATAAGCAAACTGGCCGCACCGTTAGATTGTATTTTTTGTCGCCCAGGATCTGTAGTATCACCGCTAAAACCAGTTGTCGTCAATTTCTATTATAATGTGCGATGTGGATTGAATATGTGATGTGACTATTAAAATTAAGAGCAATCTGACACCATCAACGTGTTCATATTCAAATATCAAATGCAAGCTGTGATCGATTCATTCAATAAATATAACAGGCTAACCATGTTTCTGACAAAACCGATGTATTCATGTCGTTGGTGAACCAATATCCCATTCAGTTCATATAAATAATAACATATTTTTTCACCTTTCTAAATAAATAAAAACGACAATAAAACGAACGTGGATATCTGATTTACAATGTTCGACGCGCTAAGTCACGAACACGTCAATGCTAAAACCGACAATGACAAGTTAATACGCTGCAATTTACTCGAGTTGTTTACCTGATGAATATTTAGTAGGTGCTCCCCTGAAAAATACAGATTATATTATGCATAGTTTGTGAGTTGATTCTGGTTTTCTGTTTATTTCAATATAGCTAAAATGATCATAATATATGAAGTAGATGTCTGAAGTAATATTTAATAGGTTCAATATCTAATCCAAATAACAACGAACGCATGCGCATGATGCCGCCCAGTGTTCCATTTCACGTAAACCGTGAATGCATCTTGAACATAGCAGCTCAACATTTGATAAAAGTAATTCTCTTATTCTATGAACTTAAGGAGTCTACCATACACTCTCAGACCCAACTTTTAGAATATCTTTTTTGTGCTTGAGCACATGGAAAGATATGAACTTTCATAATGTTGGAAGTGACACCCTTAATTTGCATAATTTGTTCAAAATTGTACATAATTTGCGTTCTATTCATCTAAAGCACAGTCACGAAAGATAACAAAAAATCAAAATAATATGATAATAATATATGGAACTAATAGGCTCCATTGTGCAGAATAGGCATGATTGGTTCCGTTACTCAGTTTTTAATGATATGATAAAAATAATAGACGTATTTTTAGGTATTGAGTTAATATCAAAAAAGCGTTTTTAATTTGAATATTATTTAAAAAAAAATGTGGGCCATAGTTTCAATGTACCACGTATAATGTTTTTTTTCAGTTAAATGAAGTGTCGAAGTTACATATGAAGACTTATAATTTAAAAAATGTTGTTAAAGCGAGAGAGTCGTCACCTGCGCATGCGTCGGATGGCCATAGCGTGTCATTGTTTACAAACAAGCGTCTACCCATGAGCCTTTGCGTTTTTAGCTTAAGTTGTTATCGTCGCTTGGGACTCAATTCCCGCGCGTGCACAGGTGACGACCCTCCCGCTTTAACATAAACATTTTCAGATGATTTTTGATATTTATTTATACATTATTATATTATACACAAACGAGCATCACGTAATATATCAAATGAATAGCATTTCATTGTTGAATTATATTATGAAATAAAACCAACGATTAAACTTAAATTAATGTGTTATTATTTCATAATAAATGTCTATTAACACATGTTATACTTGCAAACGCATTAGGTAAAAACGACTATTTGGACAGGCGCATTTTGTTTAAATAATTACCCATGTATGTTTCTCCTGCAGCTCACAGGTCGTATATCTCATATCTGTAGATTGAAACTCGATGCAAGTTTTGATCACAAATATAATATGCTTAGAATGAATTGTTGCGTTGGGCAAGAAGGCGGAGTTTTTGAATTTTTAAACTCCCATGTTATCGTGGGATAAACATTTTTTGTCGGTTCTGTTTTATTTGTGATTACCACTTAAGGCAGATCCGTGGAGTTAGAAAATAATGAACCAAGAACGACCATCATGATTTCATTGGTTATGCTACGACTGCTAGATTTGGGAACGGAATTTAGTCAAAGACTTTCCAGAGTCAATATGAGCCCCCATCTGCCGACCGGAAGTGAGTTTTCCTATCATCCATGTATATAAAGATATAGTGCGTGCATTTGCATAAGGTTGGATATAATTCAAGATATGGACACACTGCAGCAATCATACGAAAAAAAACGTGTACAAGAACCTGTTAAACGGCGCTTTTAATTGCTAT